TCGTGCACATAAGGGTGGAAGACAGACAGACGGGAAAGGGTGCCGGTGATGTCATTTTCCCATCCAGAGCGAAGGTAGCAAGGTCTGGGTTGGGACATACCTGGAGATTTCTTGGGGGGGGGGTGGAGCCTGAGGCAGCCCGAGTTTGGGGAAGGGCAGTACTTGAATTTAGTATAATGCCATAGAGTTCATCTTCCAAACCAGCCATTTTCTCCAGAACTCTGTTGCCTGGAGATCAGTTGCAATCCCAGGAGATCTCCAATCACCACTTGGAGGTTGGTCACCTTATGCAGAGCAAAGGTGTGGGCGTGTGCTTGCCTCCTTCTGCTCACACAAGAAAAGGGAGCTGCTGCTGTAATACTCTAGCCATGACACAGGAAAGCTGGGCAAAAGATCATTCAGGAGTGACCAAGCCATCAATAGTAGCTCTCTGCCCCGCCTCCAGCATAGGATTTTGTTTCTTGGCTGGGGGCGGGGCATTTTACCATTTCAGTAGCCACAGCATTCCAGCACACAGGAAGCTAAAGCACATCTTTGATAAGACACAGGGTTGTGGTATTCCCTGTCTTTCCAACATCTATCTAATTGGGGTGAGGTGGGAAGAAGGGATTTGTAGTGGCAGCCAGGTACAGACCACAGCACAAAATAATTGAGGAGCATGGAATTTCCCTCTAGTGACGGTCAGGGTAGAAGAGAGAGGGGTTTCCTGTAGTTGCCAGGAATGTATATATGCATTCAGTGCACGAGCTACTTGAACTGTATAAATGTAGCAGGTCAGCCTGTGTAGCTTTCTTGTGGGCTGCCAAACTTGTAAAAACTCGAGAGATGTGCTTTTTTTTTTTTAACTACCATGATTTTAACAGCTGTATGGCAGGTCAAAGTTCCAGAGGCACTGCATTTTCCAGTATGAAAGTGAAGTCATGGGGAAAGCCTCACCTGTTTGTGTTGCCACTGAAGGCAGGAGCCCTTCCCAGGGGTGGGGCGGACAGATAGTCATCCTAGCTTGGGTATTTCCCTACTTAGCTGGTAGAGTCACAGTAATAACTGATATTATGCTCTTGGTAAACCAAAACCAGGAAAATGCTGAAAAAATTCTTAATGCGAGAGGGGGAAAAGTCAAGTGTTGTTGTCACTGTATAGTTTCAGGTAGTTCACCAGATAGAACACAAAAGGAATTCTCAGCTACTGAACAGTGCAATCCAGTGCAGAGTAATGCCAGTCTAAATCAGTGGGCTTAGACCCAAGTAAGTCTGCAGAGGATCGTGCTGTAAAACTTTTAAATGCTGGAAGTATTTGGAAATAGGAGCTATTTTAGCCGCTGAACTGTGCTTTTTCTAGTGACCCGAATGAAAAAGAATGGCCGATTATGTAAGATGAATCATTCAGGGCAATTATCTTTTCTGCTCCAAACAAGTTTACAGCGTGAAAGCCCACGAGGATCAAAATGCCTCCTTACATGACAGAGTAAATATGACACTCCCTTGTCAAATGATATCATGGCTATGAAAATCTTGGCGCCTGTTATTGTTTGTAAGAAGAGAGTATAAGACTTGCCTTCCTGGATCAGATGAAAAGTTTATGCAATCCACTGTTCAGTTTTCAACAGCAACATGCTTGTGGAGAGCTCGTGAGGGCATTCATATGATAGCTTTCACTCTACCTCTTGCCTGTCAGTTGTCCCCAGATAGGGATGCCAGCTTCCAACTGGAACCAGAGGAACCCCCAGAATTCCAGCTCATCTCCAGACTACAGAGATCAGTTCCCTGGAGAAAATGGATGCTCTATGGCATTATACCCTACTGAGGTCCCGATCTTCCCCAGGCTTTACCCCCAGATTTCAATTTGGACCTGGCAACCTACCCCCCACCCCCCACCGGTGGCCAGGGCAGACCTGGCAATCCTATCCCCAGAATATGGTAATATGAGGTCATGTCTGGTCATGGAGGTTCCATTTAGCTATGGTCCACACTCGGGGCCATCGCCATGTCTTATGGCAGTGTTATATTTTTAGGTTAATTAAGTATATGGTGTGAAGAAGGGGTTCCTGCAAATACGGAATGAAGGCCATAAAGAGATACCATGCAAAACTTTTGTCTGTACCGGTTATGCAAATCTGAACCTGGTTTGAACTGAGTCGACACTCCAAGGGCCATTCATGGGCAACATTTGCTAAATTCAAAGGCAAAGGGATATTTTTGTGCTAAGGTTTTCTGGAGGAAACCAGAGCAGATTATTCAGTGTTGGATTTAGAGTGAGATTACAAGATACATATTTTTGAGAGTTGGGTCCAGGTTCTTTGAACCTAACTTTCCCAGCAGCCCCACAGCAGCTCTGGGGAGTGCAGGGGCAGGTCTTAGTGATTTGGGACCCTGAACAGAATCCATGATGAAGCCTCAAAATCGCTGCCATCGCTGCTCAGTCCCCTGCTGTGTCTACCCCTGCCACAGGGGTCCAAGAAAGGGATGGCTCTTGCCCCATGCGAGTCCGGTGGGAACCACTGCTGCAACCAGAAGCTGTTGGCCCAAACTTTGGGTGGGGTGAATGCAAGTGGCCACCACTGCTGAGGCAGCTGTTGCAGGCCTAGAAAGGGCAGGTGAGAGCAGCAACTGCTGCCAAACCAGCTGCCCCTCTTCAATGTGTGTGGGGCAGATGGGGGTTCCACATGGCATGCCGCCCCTGCTGTTCATAGACTAAGACTGCCCCTGGGACAATGTTGTTTTAAAAATTAGGGGGAGCCCAATTCAACTTGGAAACACAGCATGTAAGAGCTCCTGCCTCCCGCTGTGCTATTTTCCCAAGCCAAAATGTCCCCTGGAGGAGTTCTGCCCTATTGTGGAGTTGAGCACATGCACGGAATGTTATTGTGAGGCTGTGGGGAAAGTGAGTGGGATCCAGGGAAGCTGGACTTGGCTTGCCAAAAAGCGTATCTTGTAGTTGGGTCCTCAGATATGGGAAACCTGTTCAGCCACAGGTCTTTCTGGGTTTACCTTTTAGCTTTCTTGGTCTAACCTACTCCAATCCATGGGGCTCTTGCAGGAATAACAGGAGGTGAAGACCATGTACTCTTTTGAGACAAGGTAGGATGAAAGTGTAAAAAAAATGGCTAGAAAGGGACAAACTTTGCTAGCTGTTTGGAAGGTAGGTTATATTGTACAGATTTCACACACAACACAGCTAAGAACTTCACCTTGAATTTATTAATCAAATAAACACACAAATCTCATTTGGAAAAAAGAAGAGGAAACAGGTCTAAACAGTCATGTTTTATATATTTTTAAAATACATCTGGTCTGTTGATGGCTTGTCGGTCTACAACATACTCTTGTGTTTTTTCTCTCTCAACAGAAACAAAGTACTCCTACTCCATGGGGGAAGTTACATACCGGTAGGAGCATAATAAACATTCTAAACTATTTATTCCTATAGCCATAAATATTTCACATACACTGACATTCAACGAATGACAAAGACAACTTGTTGCTATGTATTTTGATAAACAAAACTGGAGCATGTAAGACCTTGATGGGACTGTGAGCCATGAGGGGTGTTAACTGATATGGGAGAGCGTGTTTATACAGGAAGGAGAAGCCGAAGGTGATGTTGTTGCAGTCACAGTTGCGATAGGACTGGCTTGACTCATCCTGATGCTGGAAAGTTTGTTGTGTCAGTAGTGAAGAAGAAGAGATGCCAACTGGCTGGGAGCCAAAGTGCTCCACCGCTCTCAAGGACGAAGACGTTGTCCGTCTTCTTCAGTAGTTCAGCATTGAAGCTCCAGAAACATTTGTAAACTTGGATGGACCAACTGCAGGAGCAATTTCAGTGCAAAATCAGCAGTAGGTTGGTAAGTGTTTTGATGGGCCACTGGCAGCCCCACAATCCAAGGGGCTGAGAGTCATGGTCAATTAAAGGTAAATGTTCAAAGAGGGCCGGCTATTCCAGCAACATGTGAACTTGGAGAAGTTACTTTTGCTGCCCACAAGATCCTTTACCTCCTTGGCTGATTCCTTTGAGATAGGAGGTATATCTGGTTCTGCATATGCACAATGGCTAGTATCCTAGGCCCCAAGTTCTCTTAGAGGACACATATCAGGCTGGGCAGTAACTTCAAATGGCCAAATAAGGGCAGCAGATGCAAGAAGAAGAAGGTACAGATCAGGATCAGACGAACAGACACAGCAAGCAGAACAAGGTATCTGAGTTATGGGTTGTGGGTAGATAGCAAGAGATTCCATATCTAAACCAATTTTGAGTGCTACAGCAGCAGTCTGACTTTCACAGTGGGTGGATTTCTGATAAGCCCTTATGTACCCTAAGCAAGACCAATGACTGCCACATCTTTGCCACCTAAGAGTAAGGTGCATGGAATTTAAAGGTCTAGCAAGTAAGCCGCTATTAAACCTGCTGCCTCCTCAGCTGGAGGCCTGTAGTACATCTGGACAGCCTTAGGTAAGTTAATGAACCTGGGCTTCTAAACTCCCTGGGTTGGATGCAGACTAAATTTTCCATCAGTAGCATGGAACTTTCCTGCTACCCACTGATCTCCACAAAATACTGCTTCTGGGGGACAGGGAGAGACCTCGAGTGTCTACATGAAGGAAGAATCAGTGGAAATTGACAATTTAGTTTGGATCCAGCTCCCTGTCAGAAAGATCTGAAACACCAATCCTAGGTTCAGACATTGGCAGCCTGTACTCCTTAGGGATGTCTTCAGGTAGTTTCCTCCTCAGTCGACCTCAAGTGGGCTCCAAAGGGCTACAGGTCTTGCTGGGTGGTGTTCCTCTGGTTCAAAGTCCCTATCATAGGGCCTCAGGAGCTGTATCAAAAATATGGGATGTTATAACACACGAGTTGTTATAACAATGGCTACTGAGGAAAAGGGGAGGGCAGGCAGCATGGTATAGCCAGATCTTGGAAACTAAGCAGGGTTGGTACTTGGATGGCATGCCACCAAGGAAGACTCCGCAGAGGGGGGCAATGGCAAACCACCTCTGCTTCTCTCTTGCTGTGGAAGCCCTTGTCAAGGTTGCCATAAGTCAGCTGCAATTTGATGGCATTTTACACACACGCACTCACACACACTGAGGGAAAAAGCCCCCAACTTGAAGAGATAGATGTCCCAGGCTTCTTTAGGTCTGAGATGCTGCTGCGGCACATGCTCACAACAGTATCTGAACCACAAGGGACCATGAGACGTGTCGTTTCCAGGGTGCCTGGGCACCCACCTTCTCCCAGCAATGCAGAGGTCTGACTAGAACTTGTTTGAAGCAGCAGGGCATATTTTTACAAAAGAGGATCTTATAAGAAAATGTACAAAATCAAATTGGCTTTTGGCAAATGCAGTCACACGAGGAAGGAACAGCAAGGGCTGAAGGGGAGGAAATGCAAGGAGAGCTTCAGGCACAGGTGGCTTCTTGGTTGTCCACAGGTATCTCGTTACCATAGCTACTGTCTCCATACTGGTAGTAGGGAGGTATCTGAGGACCCTCAATGATCAGCAGCCCCTCTGGTGATAAGGAAGCAAACACTGTGGTGGGATCAACCTCTCCAGGAAGCCTAGGGGAAAAAATGAAATGGAACATTTTGTGAAGTATTCTGATATAGTCTCAGGGCAAACTTCAAGACCTGTTCTTGGACATATTCAGAATTAAATTGCAAGAAAAACATAGTTTGACATAACAGCATCTGCAGTGTTTTTTAAAATCATCACTATAGCATTTTATTTATTTATGATTATTATTTTTGTATTTATTAACAGGTGTGTCTACCAGTGTTGCCGTTGGCTGGCAACCAGTGGAAAGATCAGAGCTGGGTAGAGACAGGTGTCAGTAGCATTGCACTGTGACGTCATTTCTAGCTGGAAAACTGGAAGTGGCATCACCACATTGTGCAACACTCTAGGAACCTCTCAATCTCTATGATTTTTACCATACACATTAGGAAGATTCCTAGAGCATTGTGCACTCCAGTTTTTCAGGTGGAAATGATGTCACAGTGTCACACAACTCCATCCCCCTCCATATTTCCCCACTGCCATACTGAGTGTCAGCGGCCCCGTTCATACGAGGGGTTTTGGTCCGGGAGCGAGACAGAATGGGGGCGGATCAAACAGGTGCGATCCCACGGCAATATCTGGGAATCGTTGCCTGTCTGTCCCTGATCTGTCTCTTCCAAGCGAAAACCCGCTCTAAAAAGAACCACCTACCTGGGTGGTTCATGCGAAGTGGAGCGGCTCAAACCGGCCGTGGGATTGGCCGCGCGTCCTTGCAGCGGCACATCCTGGCCTCCGGCCAAAACTGCGCATGCTTGAGCATGCGCAGTTCAGTGGCCTCCCCTTGCCTCTGACACTTCCTCCTCGGCATGTGATCGTGCCGGGGAGCAACGGCGCGCGGTGCACGGGATCCGTGGGATCCTGCCCGCGCATATCTTTTTTGATGCAGCTCTCTTTAGCCGCGCTTCGCCTTGTGTTTTCCCTGCCGTGTGGCAGGGGCCAGCATAGGAAGCAGGCAAATGGCAATCCTAGTGTCTATATGTATAAAATACAGAATTTTAAATAAATCAGAATAAGAGATAAAACCCAGACTAAACTCTCCTGAAACCCGTAGCAATATTAACAGCACACACCATCTATTTTTCTTTTTAAGCAAAAGGATTTGCATCTTTAGCATGCATACATAGTAGACAGACCCATTTAACTGATCTGAAGAATAGCTACTTATGAGGGCCTTTTCACATTTTCCATTTTGGGGATATACTTCTAAACCAGGGGTGGCCAAACCGTGGCTTGGGAGCCACATGTGGTTCTCACACATATTGTGCGGCTCCTGGCAGGGTGGCTGGGGAAGCGAAGGGGAGCCATGCTGTTCCTTCCTTCCATTTGCTTTCTTTGTTTCTTTCTCTTTCTCTCTTTCCACCTCTTTCATTCTTTCTTTCCACCTCTCTCTTTCTGTGTCAAACAAATACATACCATTGGACAAATAAATATCATTATCAATACCTGTTTTTACCCCTTTTACTTTTATTTTTGGCAGTCTCGTTTAATGTTAATAAAAAGCAAATTTGCATATTTTTAAAAATAAAAACATTTGTAATATCTGTTCATGTCTTGCGGCTCTCAAACATCTGACGTTTATTCTATGCGGCTCTTACGTTGAGCAAGTTTAGCCACCCCTGTTCTAAACAATGTTCCCTCTATCCCCACCCCCCGTGTGGAGCAGTTCCCATCCTGAGCAGAATATAACTGCTGTAATCTTAAAATGGGCAATGGGCAGTGCAAGACTTTGCACAGCTCCAGATTGCTGCTAAGCGGAGCTTCCTGTGTTGATGATGAGCGGTCACTCCGCTCACATGCACAGTTTAGAGGGAACACTGCTTCTAAAATGTTTTAAGTATAAAATTAAAAATGCCCACTGCAAAAGCAGCCAAAACAAAGTTTTCATGTGGGTACAGTTGTTCAGGTAGCTGGTTACCTATCAGACCTGGGTTTGCTGCCAAGCAGTATATGGAATAGCTTGCAGAAAGACAGGGGCAAATCTGGCAAAACTTCTTGTGTTCACCACGCAGTCTCTGCAAGCCTCTCCAAACAAGGAAGAGCTGGCCTACTGTCTGTTTACCACAGCTGCCTTTAAAAACTGACATTTGTTTTGCTGTTTGCTTTATTTCCATTTTATTTCCATTGTTTTAAATTTTGTGACCGTAGGCTGACCCTGGTGTTTCGGGATAAAAGCCAAAGGGAATAACTGTTCAGTGTATTGCTGGCAGCTCTAGAAAACGCCTGAAAAAGTCATAATAAATCCATTACAAGGTTTGAAAAGTCTATTTTGTTGCGTCACGCAGTAACTGGCTCGTTTTTTGAATTAGCGGAGTTTCAAAAACATGATCATTAAAGTATCTTTTAAAAACTTGGTCTAATAAAATTTAAAGGTTTTGAAATACTTGACCCATCTTTTTTCTTCAAACAGGCAAATGATCAACTCTACCTCCAGCCTGTTCCTAAACCAGGGAGAAATAAGATTTGCACCCAGAGGGTTTATGGCTGAGGAGGGATTTGAACTTGGGTGTCCCCCTATCCAAAGTTAATATACATATTGACAGTTTCCCACCAGCTCTTGTCTAGTGATTAATGAAAAACATCTCCTGCTTCTTCAACTATAGGGGTTATTTTAGCATGAAACTATAGAAGAGGGTGGAATGGTGAGGGAAGAGTTACGCATACTTTTCTGCTGAGGAAAACCCATCCTCCTCCTGGTATTGTAATTCTGGCTTTGTGTGAGAGAGGTCTTTGTATAAATCAATGTAAATTCCTTGGCAGGCACCAGTTTCACTGGCCGCTGGGGTGGATTAAGTGTAGCACAAGAACACCCAAGAACGTTTTGCTTTACATCAGAAATGGTCTGTGTCCAAAAAAGGAGCTCCTTCTTGTGCAGCTGTAATACCCAAGAAACAAGCAGAAACTGGCCTAGTTTTCAGTAAGGTACTGAAGCTGTGCTTGGGCTGTAGGGTTGCCAACAAGCCTGGCGAACCCATGTCCTGTCCCTTTAACAGAGGCTTAATGCATGGAAATGGGCAGAGGGAGCTTTTCGTGGCATATATCAGCGGGCAAATAACATCCTATTAACCTTCCATTCAAGGGACAGGACATGTTTTTGCTCCAGGCAGTTGGCAGCCTACCTGTACCACTTCAGGTGGTACGTGGGGACTCTCATGGCTGAAAGCACCTTCAACCCTTGCCCCATGTAAGGGGGAGGAAGGAAGCTGCTCCTGGAAGCCAGCTGCCTGAACCCCAGATGGGAGTGGGCGTGAGTGGCCACTGCCTAGGGCTGCCAACCTCTAGGTGGGGCTTGGAGATCTCCTGGGATTACAAATAATTTCCTGACTCCAGAGATCAGTTCTCATGAAGAAAATGGCTGCTTTGGAGGGACGACTCTATGACATCTATATATCTAATAGCCAAGTTGCCCCCTGGTCTGCGGATACTTATTTCCGCACATCGGGGGCAACTGGAGGGGAGGGAGAGTTTTGTGCACACGTGGGGCGGTCCCCAGGTGTGCACAAAAATCAGAAACCATGTAAAAAATATCGGGGGGATGTTTAAATCCCCCCGAAACTGACAGAGCGTCCCCTGCGCATGTGCAGGGAATGCTCTGCAGCCGGCCTCCCGCCGCCGCGGAGGGGGGGGGAAGAGAGCAGCGAGGGCCGGGATGGGGGTGGGGGAGAGAGCAGCGAGGGCCGAGCGGAAGGGGGGGTGGAGGAGATGGGGGGAACCGGCGGGATAGGGGGGTACTTACCTTCTCCTGCTGCTTCCTCCTCTGCCTCCCCCCCGTGAGTATCGCGGGTCCGCCCCTTGTTATATACTACTGAGGTCCCTTCCCTCCTCCAACCCTGCTCTCCCCAGGCTGCACCCCCAAATATCCAGGAATTTCCCAACCTGGAGTTGGCAACCTGTTGGAGGGGCAAGGCTGTGGGCAGTCATTCACCTCAGCATTGAGCCCAAGGCAGCTACCCTCGCTGCCCATTGGCTAAGACCATTTCTGGAGGTCACTAGCATAAATGGATTTAAAAGAAGATTCATGGAGAAGAGATCCATCAATAACGTATAGCAGTGATGGTTAGATGGGTCCTCCATGTTTACACCAGTATACCTCTGTCAGCTGCCGAAGGGGGAGGCACCAACAGGGTGAACCCGTGGCTTCCAGGCCCTGCTTGTAGTTCTTCCAAGGGCATTTGTAATAAACTCCTAGGATGCTTGACAAGGTAGACGTTTAAGCTACATCTTCCTTCACCAATTTGTCCATAGTATATTAATTAAAGGCATTCCCATCATTTCTAGGAGGTTTAGGGTGGTGGGGATCTACAAATAAGCATCTCTCTGACTGGAAGTGACGTCATCCCAGAAGTGATGTCATCCCATTGGCACGATAGTCTTCGTTTCCACTGAAATTAGAGTTGTAGTCTTGCAAACAACCTGCAGCCAAAATGTCGTATTCCTTTAATAGAAGCTTAATCTGAGGAATAGACAAGTGGAGCTTTTCAGGGCACTGAGGTAAACAGCATCATCTGGTAAATAACATCAAATTAAGCCTCTGTTAAAGGGACAGGGCATTTTTTCTCTCTGGACCGTTGGCAACTATTATGTGGAATATCACCCCCGTTTTTAGAATTGCAGAATCTTGCCTGAAGGAGCTGAAACAATGCCTCCATAAGGGTTCGTGGGACCAGGGTGGTAGCCTGTTGATTAAAAGCTTCTTCCAGCTCTGAGTACCCCCCAAAACCAGGGAGGGGCTCAGTTGGCCCCCTAACAATCAGGCAGGCTCCGTCTGGTATCTGTCAAATGGTGACTCTCACTCTTCAAGCA